CAGGAACGTAGTAGGGAATCTCCGGCAGGTAGGCCGAGATGTAAGCTACCTGGGCGGGGTGCCATGGTGAGGCACTTAAGTATCATGACTACTTGGTGTTCAGAGTTCAAGACTCCGCTGCCGCTGTCTCGGATTGTTTCGTACGGGTCTATGTATGCTAGTGCTTGTTGCTGGGTTGGACTTCTCCCTGCCTCAGCGAGGACTCTAAATTCCACGCTTCCGCAAAGCCAGTAGTCCGCCCAGGTGAGCGACTGCTACAGTTTCAGTAGCCCCAAACTCTTCTTGTGGGGGCTTGTAGAAAGCACATGAGTCTGCCAGCCTCTCCATGGCAAGCAAGGATGCTTCCATTTGGATTCAGCTAAACATGGCAGTGGCCTCGGGGCGCCTCTTGTTTTTCATGCAGCTGCAGCAGCCAGGGATGGTGTTGGGCAGTGGGCTGCAGCAGGTATGTGGCCATGTCAGGCTGCACGCCAGGTTTTTGTACAGGGGCCAGGGCTGATAGCTGAGTTGCTGAACAGGTGTTGAGTTGTTTGTCGTACACGCACATATGTTCGTGTACGGCACTTGGCGCAGCTCATAGTATACGCACACGTTTTAGAATAGATACAGAACCTTTGGATGCTGTGACAACAATTTAAGTTGAGGTGTCGTTTATTACAGCATAGGTTTAGGGAAACATTATAGTATAATAGTATCGCAGTCTTAGGTTCGATTCCAATACAATGCGCGAAATGGATTTCAATGTAAGAATAACCTACATGTGGATACCCTAATAAAGGGCGCCTACCAATAGAGGTGCATGTGAGAATGCAGAGGTCGAAACGTGTGTTTGAATTTTCATCATGACCCTTAAGAATCCCACATTTTTTAAGGCTTAAGAATGTAAGCAGCAAAAAGAATTTCCTGAGAATATGACTTAAGAATGAGTGCCATACTTAGCGAACCTATGGTAAGAACGGTTAAAACCGGCCAAAGAGCAGCTAAGTATGCTTTAGGCAAAGAATGAATAAGTTGGCCTAAGAATGTATAAGAACACCCCAAAGAACGAAAAGAATACATAAGACTGCTGGCCCTAAAGAATGCTAAAGAATGTAAAGAGTG